CTCTCTCTCTCTCTCTCTCTCTCTCTCTCTCTCTCTCTCTCTCTCTCTCTCTCTCTCTCTCTCTCGGGATAAGCAATTGAAATAATTTTTTAATTTTTATATTAACGCATTTCATCACTCGCGATTAATATTGAATGTCGCAGGTGAACGGGTGCGCACGAAAATTTTACATATTGCGACTCTACCGCGGAGTCTATTATTAATTTTATTATTGGATCCGTGCTGAATATGGAAAATATCCGTGCGGTATATGGAAAATGATTGCGACTAAGTTAATTATTTTTTTAGTACGCGTCGAAGGCATTTTGATATATATATTTTTTTTAAAGCAGCGCACTTTACAACGTTCGGTAAAAACACACATGTTAATATTATATTTAATATAACGGAAAACAAGCGCAATTAAATGAAATAAATAATTTTTGTAAAAGTCGGGTCAGGCGGCGAGCATGGAAATATTTTTAAAGATTGATGCATTTTATCGATTAGTATTAATATTACACGCGACGTACAAGCTACCCTGTTTTTTGCCGATGCGCGCCCTATTTTTTAACGACGAGTTTTTCATCGTTTTAAACACCAAAGCACTCGTTTACGTTGCATGTAATTAGTAGATTCGAAGATAAGCTTCTTGTCGGTCTAACGACTTACGCGTGGAGAGTAACAATTGCGGGATTATGACGTTGAGAATTAATGCAGACACGATTAATTCAACGATTTAATTTTACTTGTGTTTTACTTGATTAATTTAATGATTTAATTTTACTTATGTCATTACTTAATGTCATTAACGATACTACTACGTCTATCGAGTCTGTCAAAAAGTTCAGTTTGATTGTTGAGGCAAATCTGACTTTGTTACATTTAACGGAAGTAAATTATCCACCAAATAAGTAAAACCATTGTCATTGTCTGATTCCGGCAGTATTCGTCTACTCTTCCCGTTGGCCGAAAATCGAACTTTTTGACTGATCTCCATGTATACATTGAGTACAAACCACCAAGAACAACGTACCTTGCCGCTTGGCTGAGTGAGAGTCCTTCCTTCAAGACGCTGAAGATCGCTTCCGCCATGGTCTCGGGCCGCCAGGACTTGAGGGGTCCGCGTTCCCGGAAGCGCAGGTTGTGCACCAGACTCTGGTTGGTGTTCCAGCACTTCTGCCACATGGATTGCAGCTGGTACTGGTAGCTGTCTGCTAGTTAACGCCCCCCGTGGAAAAGAGAAAACACAGAAAGGCAGCTATTAGTGAGGTCGTTCGATTATAACGGGG